CAAGAAATCATGGGCTTTTTTGAGGATGTATAACTGTTTTGATATGATATATATTGAATGTCAGGAGTGCAACAAAATAGGAATAAAGTTCCTTATATAGGTAATAATTTAAAAAAATAATAATAGTTCAGAAAAACTTTGAAGAATGCAGATCTCAAACAACAATTCTACTGAATATTTAATAGAATTTAGTTCATAGTTTGGTAACTTAACCTCATTTTTATAATAATATGTCAGAAAAATCAATTTAAATATGATCTGAAGTGCATAAGATGCATAAGTAAAAATAGATAAATGACAGATTTAGGTCTTTATAAACCAGCAATGATTACAAATTTTAAAAAATCATGAGTATTTTGTTCTAGTTTCTGCATTTTTTGTTTGGTGTATAATATGTCAGGAGTGCAACGAAAACAGGGGAAATTGGATGTATTTTCTTTTTGATATTTCTTCTTTATTAAAAGATTTATCTATCATTTTTTTTTCTCAGTGAATTTGAAAAAGGTTTAATTTTAATATGGAGAAGTTTTTTTATCAACTAATTGATGAATTATTTTTTAATCAAAACTTTTTCAATCAACTTTAAATGAATTGATACAAAAAATAGCCAAAAACATAAAAAAAATATGATAATCAAAGAGGAGATTAATAATCTATGCATCAAAAGTTATGTTTGGATCTCTGCAATCAATAGGGGTGAACAAAATATAAATATTTGATAGTGTTTGTCTGATATAATATTCCAAAAAGGTATACTTGATTTAAATTTGTTTTATTGGTTTATGTCATTTAAGTTTCAGAACTTTTTTATTTCTTTATACTTTTATATATCCTTTTGGATTTATTAACTTAAATGTATATGTATCAAGATACAACAAAAGAAAATGCACGAAAACAATGTTGAAATTTGGTAAAAAAAATTAAATTTGGACCATTTATTTTGACTTTGCCCAGTTGGTGGTTGCAAATGTCCTTTACAGTCAGTGGTTGCAAGTGTAATTTACAGTCAGTCGTTTCAAGAGTACTATACAGTCAGAAGTTGTAAAGAGTTCTTTTTAAGTTTGGAGTTTAAAATATATTTCCAAAATGTGGTTTTTGTCGAGCCTGTGACTTTTGTCGCAAAAGAGAGACATAGCGATCCTACATTCCGTCGGCGGCGGCGTCGTCCACAAATATTCACTCTGTGGTTAAAAGTTTTTGAAATTTTAATCACTTTCTTAAACTATCCTGGATTTCTACCAAACTTGGACAGAAGCTTGTTTATGATCATAAGATAGTATCCAGAAGTAAATTTAAAAAAAAAATAAATCCTGTTTATCCGTATTTTACTTATAAATGGACTTAGTTTTTCTGCCAGTTAACATTACATTCACTCTATGGTTAAAGTTTTAAAAATTTTAATAAATTTTACTATTCTGGATTTGTACCAAACTTGGACAGAAGCTTGTTTATGATCCAAAGGTAGTATCTAGAAGGAAATTTTGTTATAATTTATTTCCTGTTTTTCCATATATTACTTATAAATGGACTTAGTTTTTCTTCCAGTTAACATAACATACAGTCTGCAGTTAAAAGTTTTTAAAACATTTACAAGACTCATAAACCATCCTTGATTTTTACCAAACTTGGACAGAAGCTTCTTACAATCAAAAGATAGTATCTAGAGGAAAATGTAATAATTATCTTCTTTATCATTTGTTCATTCAATAAATTTATGTTTCAACTCTTTTATAAATCTATAGATTTGATTGCATACTGCATTTTTTACAAGCATAACTTTTTTCATACATTTCAAACGTTTTATTTCATTAACTGTAAATCTATTATGTGCATTCCCCGATCACACTGAAGACATAGACAACAGCAAAAGTAGGCGAGAAACTGGGTTCCGTGGAATCCTTACGAATTTTATTAACTTGAGTATGCTTTTTAAATACTAAAGTTTTATTGCTTTTTCTAGTCATTAATGTTCAGCATCCTTAAGCTTGTTTAGAGTCAGTAGTTTTAAAGTTTATCTAAAGTCAACAGTTTTCAGTTTATATAACAGTCATTGTCCTTTAAGTGTCTCCCTCATCAGTAAATAACTGACAATTCCATAGTCTCCTTTTTCATTCTTTTTGTTTCATTGGATTTAAGTAGGTCTTTTTATTCAATGGTTTGACGTTTCTTTTCAGTCAGTCAGTATTTTTGAATGATAATTATAACATTTATTACAAATAAATGGAGAATGTGTCCATGGGACACAGATGATTCCCCCACTTGCATATAACATTATAAAGGGGCATAACTCAGGAAAGGTAACAATGACGCCACAAAAATTCCAACTTGATCTGTATGTTGTGGTAATAAGCATTGTGTATAAGTTGCACAACATTTCATACCGGCAAACTCAAGTTAGAGAACGGAAACTAATTTTGGGACGTACCTACAGACAGACAAGGGTAATACTTAATGCCCCCTCCGGTGATGGTGGGGACGTATCAACAGACAGACAAGGGTAATACTTAATGCCCCCTCCGGTGATGGTGGGGACGTACCTACAGACAGACAAGGGTAATACTTAATGCCCCCTCCGGTGATGGTGGGGACGTACCTACAGACAGACAAGGGTAATACTTAATGCCCCCTCCGATGATGGTGGGGACGTACCTACAGACAGACAAGGGTAATACTTAATGCCCCCTCTGGTGATGGTGGGGACGTACCTACGGACAGACAAGGGTAATACTTAATGCCCCCTCCGGTGATGGTGGGGACGTACCTACAGACAGACAAGGGTAATACTTAATGCCCCCTCCGGTGATGGTGGGGACGTACCTATGGACAGACAAGGGTAATACTTAATGCCCCCTCCGGTGATGGTGGGGACATAAGAATTAGCTGCACTGCGCTATAGCAAACAGGCAGGCTGTATCTCAAACACTTTCTTAGTACCACAGTTGTTTCATGAACCTTCAAAAAGTTTGCTTATTTGTCCATTCAAATGATGTGCAATTTATAGTTGAATGTAAGTACCTTAGTTTATAATAGGATTAAATATTCTGTATTTCATTTATTTGATCAATCCTAGGATTAAAGGATTATACATTTATATGATGTTCTTTCATACTACGATTCAACAACATATCTAATCTGAAACGCAATTACTTTGATAGAGGCTGAACAAATATTAAATCTGATAGTAAACTCAATTATCAGTGTATTGTCTGATTTGTCAAACGAAAACATCCTCATTAGACGAGCGAAGACCTTGGACACTGTTGTTTATTGATTTTCCTGGATTTTGTCAGGAAACTTCATTACCAATAGTTTTATACTAAAATCAAGTCTCTAGTACAGGATGAAAATCGTGCAAATAAGATTTAATCTGGAATAATGCTTTCGTTATCAAGTATGAAAGCCATGGATACAAAAAATAATCCAAAATTATGCCATTCTTATGAAAGCTGGGAAACAAGAATTAATCTGAAATAATATTATCCTTATAGTCAGTTTAAGTAGAAAAGGTTTCTGCAGAACACTAAGTTTCACCTGCTTTTGCTGTCTGAGTAAGAGTGCAATGCTTACTGGATCAGAAAAATACAGATTTTGTTTAAACAAATTTTTTCTTAAGATGCTATTTCTTGATCTTGAAAAATGACTGTATAAGTTGCATTACAAGCCAAGAAAAAGCTTCTTGCAAAGTTTCATAAAATCATAATAAGGTTGGACAAAGTTACATTGATGTCTAAAAAACTCCTCTCTCATACTGTCTTTTGATCATAAAATTTTTATTTAAGACAAAAAGATGAAAGTTTAATATTGGTTGTATGTTTTCATCATCACCTAACAATTTCTGAGGTATGGGATGTTTGCTTGAACTGTAATATATAGTTACTCTAATCTTGACTGAAATAAACTAAAAATATAAATATAAATACATTAAGGACTGTTGTTTCTGACAACAAAATTAAGTTTCAGGTTTTGGAATGGAACAGATCATAAAGTATTCATCTATAAGATATCTACAAGGCTTTTTGGACCCTTGTTGCTTTTTCACTACCGTAATCGGGCTTGTATAGTTCGCACTGGTACTTAGTCCGCACCCCCTTCTCCCCACGAAATTTCAGGTAAAAAAACTTTTTGCAACTGTTAGAAAAGGTCTAATGAAACTCTGGTAATTTTAAAACGTGTGTGGTCGTTTGCGGTATTTTCTTGAAAAAACATATTTTCCATCATCAAACAGAAGCTGAAACTGCTAGTAAATGGTTGTGAAACACTTCACGCTGGTTAAAATATGTCTAAATCACACAAAAAACAATTTAGAAACTTGTGTATGTTTAAACCGGAAGTTTGGAAAGCACGTGTAAAAGATGAAAAAACCCGGTGAGAGTCGAAATCCGTACATAATAGATATCACTATAATACGACTTTGAAAGTAAAACAGTTCCCTCCTTATGTAAAACAGTGTTTAATATATCTATCACATTAATGTTTGAAGGATTTTAATTAATACAAAACATATTTGTCAATAGGAAACACACAAACGGAACAAATTATAACCGATTACGTTTTGTAGTTTACACATCGTAAGCTGGTTTACGGTTGTCTTTTTTTACTTTTTTTGTAAGATTTCATTCAAGTAGATACCATTTTATACTTAGCAATGCGTTGAAAAGAAACGAGAATTTTGTTATGAAGCATTTAATTTTTAAAATTATCAGTATTAATTTGATATTGAATAAAAATAACTTATTAATATGGATTGGGTAAAATTATTGGTTTGAAAAATGATAAGATTGCCCTCTACAATGTCAATAACAAACATGGCGGAACGTAAACAAACCACATCGCGAAATTGAAATTTTCTCTCTTAATTCTTGCTTATTGTACTCTATAGTCCGCACCCCTGCTGTCAGGGTCAATTTTGGAGAATAAAACCGCAGACTATACAAGCCTTTTAACGGTATTGACAATCCAAGAATCAAAGGTTAAGGTTATATGTTGCTATGGATACATACTGTGGTATCTTCTGGCTGAGTCCTTCCTCTTTTGTTTGTACAGAGTTCTAACAACTTTAGCACTGCCAAATCTCTTGAACTTCTTGCTGACATTATCATAAAACCATTCACACGATTTCATCTTCAATTCCCTGTAAAATAAACTCAGTTCCCATGTATCTTGCCTTTTTTGACTGCCACTCAATACAAAAAATAAAACTAATAAATGGAGAATGTGTTCATGGGACAAAGTTGATGCCCTTGCTTGCATGTAACGTTACAAAGGGCATAACTCTAGAACGGTAAAGGTGATACCACCCAAATTCAAATTTGATCTGTGCTTTGTGGTAATAAGCATTGTGTATAAGTTTCATAACATTTGGTTGAGGCAAACTAAAGTAAGAAAACGGAAACCAATTTCAGGACGTACGGACAGAAAAAGGGTAAAACTTAATGCCGCCTACCTTGACGGCGGGGGCATAAAAATATTTAGAGGTTAACCATACAGGCTTCAAGGGTTGGCGCCTTCAAACATGTTTAACCCCACCACATTCTTCATGTGCCTGTCCCAAGTTAGGAGCCTGTAGTTCAGTGCTTGTCATTGGTTTATGTCATTCATATTTGTTTTCGTAAATTGTTTTGTTTTAAATCAGGCTGTTAGTTTTCTCAATTGAATTGTTTCATATATTTCATGTTTGGGCCTTTTAAAGCCGCCTATACGGTATGGATTTTTCTCATTGTTGAAGGCTGTACATTTGCCTACAATTGCTAACATCCACTTCATTTGAACTTTGGTGGATAGTGGTCTCATTGGCAATCATACTTTTTCTCTTTATTTTTATATTCAACATTAGATAAGTGACTATACAATATGTCAAATTCTAAATCACCTAGAGTCTAGAAAAAGGTATAAATAAATCCTCTAGCATATTAGCTGCAATGGATAGATATGGACCTTATGCAAATGAATATCAATACATCTGTTAACTTTTTTCGGGTTTCATAAATCTCTATGCAAAGTCTGAAACTGTTTGAAAATTGATTTGATATATGACCCCTACATAATCTTTTATTTCGTATTTGAATGTTTAAAAATCAATCAAAGTAGTATACATATACATGTTTCCATGCACTTGTATAAGGTCCATTTCTATCCATCGCAGCTCATATATATCAACCATGAACACCAAATTAGTTCATGATTTTGACCTTGAAGTTAATCACTTAGCACAAAACCAATCCATTAGAAATATATTCGTTTCTATAAGACTTCAAATTCGTTATTTAGATTAACCTGGAAATTGACAGAAACTGGTCCATAAGGTATAAATTATCACATTCAAGATTTTAGCATTCTGTGGCAAAGTGACTCTAGAAGGGGGCTTCAGACACAGAAAAACTAATCAAGTGTTAGTTGTCCATACTGTTGAATTAAACAGCTCTTCCTCAACTGTGGTACATTAGACAATCTCTCTCTTACTTTTACCCTACATTAATATTCCTAAAAGACCACAAAATTTTAGGACCAAACTAACCTAATGTTTGTGAGAATGGACTTGCTCATTATTGAATACACATAATGTAAAAACACTGGAATGAATTGGTGGTTTCTTTTTATATCTTTATATTTTTCATATTCTGACCTTGAGTGATATGAAACATACATGCATATGATACAGAAAAATTATAACATGCTACATTAAACAGGTTGTATATCACATAATGTGTTCAGGCCACCCTTAAAAAATACTTTGTTTGATGTTGCCTACCCATGCCTTGTAGGGTTGAATAGGTTACAGTAGGTTTTTATTTTCCTTTGGCCAACAACATAAGTCACATTTTTTTGACAAGAAGACATTAGAGCATGAAAAAAGTTTAAAAAAACAAAATTTTAAACAATTTGTGTCAAATTTTTTTTGGGTCAACTGCTTTTCAGGCGGGTAGGTAGGCAATAACAATTTTATTTTTTGCCCCAGTCTTATCTACAAGTATGTATCATATAGGAATTAAAGTTTACATCATTTTTATTAAAATTTAATGATTTTAAACAACATGCAACAGGTGTACTGTCATTTCTCCTTGACCTACCTGAAAATCAATATTTCAAACTGTTTCATGACATTCAAATTAATGGCAATACCTCAAATTGATATCTAATTTCATCCTTCATGTCCTTGGCAGTTTTAATGTTCTCATATATAAATGGTATAACCACAATTGATTTTAGCAATAACTTCATTGTTTTAAGAGAAGAGATTTAACTAATGGCGAAGATTTCTGTTCAAGATAATAAAAAAATCCTGTCTTAATTAGGAAATGATGTGGTAAAATCATTTTAAACTGTTTGTCAGTGGAAAGTCAAATCATCAAAAAAAATACAATCGATTTGAATTGTTTCAATTTTGTCATACAGGGTCTTTAATAGCTGACTATACATTATGGGTTTTGCTCATTGTTGAAGTCCATACAGTGAACTATAGTCTCTTACATCCACATCATTTGGACTCTGGTAGATAGTTGTCTCATTGCAATCATACAAAATCTCTTTATTTTTATACAATATTGTTGGATAGATTTTTTAAAAGTGCATCGTATTTTCAAGCAGAGATACGACAATTTAAACCTTTGTTCTCCCTATCAGTTAACAAGATATATGTAGGATCACACTGCAGTAACAAAGGGACATAACTCACTAAAACACTGAAATAAAAAGGAGACAATTCACCAGTCTTTGGCATAGATATGACAATCAAAACCTTTGTTCTCCCCATCAGAGTCAACAAGATATATGTAGGATCACACTGCAGTAACAAAGGGACATAACTCACTAAAACACTGAAACAAAGTGGAGACAATTAATCTGTCTTTGGCAGAAATATGACAATTGATACCTTTGTTCTCCCCATCACAGTCAACAAGATATATCAAGGATTACACTGCAGTAACAAAGTGACATAACTCACTAAAACACTAAAACAAAGTGGAGACAATTCACCTGTCTTTGGCAGAAATGACAGTTTAAGCCTTTGTTCTCCCTATCAGTTAACAAGATATGTGTCAGATCACACTGCAGTAACAAAGGAACATAACTCACTAAAACAAAGTGGAGACAATTCACCCGTCTTTGGCAGAGATATGACAATTAAAACCCTTGTACTCCCCATCACAGTCAACAAGATATATGTAAGATCACATTGCAGTAACAAAGGGACATAATTAACTAAAAGACTGAAGCAAAGTGAAGACCATTCACCAAGCTGATGCACAGATATAACATATGGAACCTTTGTACTTCCTGTCATAGAGGCAGCATGATATATGAAGGATCACTGAGAAAACAAAGGGACATAACTCAAAGGACTGAACCAAAGATAAGAAAACTCACCTGGCCTCAGCACAGGTATGACATATATGACCTTTGTTCTCCCTGTCATAGAGGCAGCATGATTTACAGATGTACAGTTTACACAGCTGACATGTCTGCTTTCTGTTGAATATTATTCCAAAGGATCGACAACAACGAATACAAACATTCTCATTCAGTTTAGTTTTCTGTGATAGTACAGTAGCTTTCTGATTCTCTTCTTCAATATCTTCCTGGATCTTACTACAAAATAATAAAGGAGACATGTAAACATACAATGATTCTCCTCCTCAATATCTTCCTGGATCTTACTACAAAATAATAAAAGAGACATGTAAACATACAATGATCCTCTTCTGCAATGTTTCCAGGATCATACTACAAAAGAAATAAGGAGACATGTAAACATGCAATGATTCTCTTCCTCAATATCTTCCTGGATCTTATTACAAAATAATAAAAGAGACATGTAAACATGCAATGATTCTCTTCCTCAATATCATTCTAGATCTTACTACAAAAGAGTAAAGGAAACATTGTAAACATACACTGTATAGAAAGTTGGAAAAACACCTCATTCAAATAAGTTAACCTGATCATTAAACCACGAAAATAAGATTCATGATTAGTAGAAAACACACCTCATTATATAAAAATGTGAAATTGGCCACAAAAGTGAGAATAAGGTTATAAGATGATCTTAGTACTGACTGGTAAACATTGAGGTCTCTCGTGACCTACAATAATGTGCCTCAAGCACAATAAACCACTATGAAATTCTCAAGATGTATTGCCCATTGTTTTTTTTAAATCAAATGGGAAGCATGGCACTTTAAAAGTGACTGTATCAGGTCAGGAATATGACTGCCAGTTTTCATAGTACTTTCTGTTAACTGTTAGTGTTTTCTGAGACTTTGAAGAGAGTTTGTGTTTCATAACCTTCTGAGTTATGCAGTTTAATGTTATTTTCTATTCCTGCATGAACTTAGGCCACAAATAAAATTTAAATTGTTTGATGTTGCCTACCTGAAAAATTTTATGACACAAATTGTTTCAATTTTTTTATAAAAGATTTTTTCCTATTCCGACGTCATTTTCTTGTCTTTTTCAGCATGTAACTTTTGATCCAACGTCATTTTCTTGTTTTTTTCAGCATGTAACTTTTGTCGTTGGCCAAAAAAAAATCACTACCTACCTACCCAACCCTACAAGGCATGGGTAGGCAACATCACAAAAAGAATTTTTGAAGGGCGGCCTTATACCAGATTGACATATAGAATCACAATAATCTGAACCTTAATATATCCTTGTGCATAATATGTGATTTATCAGTCTCCAAACTGCACAAATAACCATAAAACATGTATAACATTGCAGAATCCATTTCTACTAGCTCAATATTAGAATTTTATCCGTCAATCATTTGTTGTATTTGTACATGCAATCTAAGCAGAAAATTACAATTCTACACTTTATTTGTTTGAGAGTAAACAGTTCTGAATATCCAAATCCTCAGAGAATTTTATTATTGCAAGCTTTCAATTATATAATAGACATTGTTAGATTGTATCTGTTAAAATCTGTGTGAAGTCGTTTAAAATCACCACTCAAGAACAAACAACTGCTTGACATTAGGCATGTTGCATGTGGATCTTAATCTTAACTGTGGGGCAAAACATATTTATATGTATCTACTGGATGAAGTGTTTAATACTTAGAGTAAAAAATATTTAATAGCTTTGAAAAATCTTTGAATAAAGTATGATGACTTAAGGCACAATTTTAACAGAGTATACTAAGTTTTCACTGTTTAATTACATTTCCAAGAAATCCCCCCCCCCCCACCCCTCTCCCCTGTAGAAAAGTTTTAGAACAAATATGTATAAAGCAAGCAACAATTGTTATGGACAGAAGGGTTACATTATTAGCAAAAATTTTTTTTCCATTAGATAAAGAAAAAAACAATCAAAAATATTTTTAGTTTCTCTAATGTGAATTAACAATAAAAAGTTACAAGTGTGGAATGATCACTATAATAATTTCAATACCAACCACATTTTCAAAGGTCCACAACCCTTAAACATTAAGTCTATATCTAAAACCCTTAAACAGTAAGTCTATATCTAAAACCCTTAACCAATGCGGCTTGGCAGTGTTTAATGTTATGTCTTAGAAACCAAGAAGAATGTGTCCATAGTACATGGATGCCCCACTAGCACTATCATTTTCTATGTTCAGTGGACCGTGAAATTGAGGTCAAAACTCTAAATTGGCATTAGAATTAGAAAAACCATATCATAGGGAACATGTACTAGGTTTACAGTTGATTCATCATGAGATATGCCAATGTTTACACAACTGCATACCAAATATCATTGACCTACAACTAGTGGTTTCCCATAAACTGATCAAATCACAAACTAATACATGAAAACTAAGCAAAATTTTCAAAGTCAATAGACCATGACTGAAGGGTCCAGGCCAAATAATCTCCATGGAAATGAGATATGCCAATGCTTATACAACTGTATACATGTACCAATGACTGAGGGGGTGGGGCCAAATAATCTCCATGGTAATGAGATGTGTCAATGCTAATTCAACTGCAAACCAATTATGATTGACCTACCACTAGTGGTTCACCATAAAATAGACCTAATCACAAACTAATACATTGTTGACGACGCCGCCGACAGCAGAAACAGTATTCCTTTGTCTCCCTTTTTGACTCATCAAAAATTTTAACCTGAAGCAGGACAGACGGACCAATGGACGGGGCATAAAAATCTTACAAATAGACGAAAAACATGGCACTCACTTTACACTTTTCTGGGAAATAGTATATCAACTATAAATCTAAAACATTATGATGTTCTATCAGTAATTTAACAGACTCTGAGAAAACCAATATTAAGCTAGAAATGATATAAATATTCATTAGATTTCATTGCATAATTATTTCATTAGAGTGTGCCTTGTCTTCTTCACAAGTTTTAATGCACTTTGCAGTAATGTTTTACCCAAAAAATTCACTACTATTCAATTCTAAATTAAACATTATTGATTTCATTCTTAAGAAGAATGTGTGAATGCATTACTAGTGCAATTTATCATAAGTTTATATCACTTTAAAATGTCATTAATATTTGAAAGGGAACATATTTCTCTCAAACAAGAGTAATACAATACACTTTCTATACAAACGTGTCAAAATATAAACAAATTTTAAAAACAGACTTCCCACACAATATTAAGTTATACAGATTTTATCAACCTCTGCTTTTCGGTAACCGTCAACATAAATCAGATGGAAGAAGGAGTTATGCAAATCATAAAATAGAGTCTATAAAACACATATGAATGTTTTGGAAGTACAACAAAAAAAAAAATCATAAGGGTTCCGCGGAACCCAGTGTCTCGCCTACTTTTGCTGTTAGTCGCAGGCTCAACAAAAATGGGGAAATAATTATTAAAAATTTTCCTCTAAATACTATCTTTTAAATGTAGGAAGCTTCTATCCAAGTTTGGTAAAACTCCAGGATGGTTTATGAATCTAATTAATGTTTTAAAAACTTTAACTGCAGACTGTATGTAATGTCTGTCAACTGAAAAACTAAGTCCATTTATAAGTAATATACCGAAAAACAGGAAATTTTTTTTTACAAAATTTCCTTCTACCATGTTACTAGATACTAGCTTTTGATCATAAACAAGCTTCTGTCCAAGTTTGGTACAAATCCAGGATAGTTTAAGAAAGTTATTAAATTTTTTAAAACTTTAACCATAGAGTGAATGTAATGTTAACTGGCAGAAAAACTAAGTCCATACTAAGTCCATTTATAAGTAAAATACGGATAAACAGGATTTTTTTTTTTACAAAATTTACTTTTGAATACTATCTTATGATCACAAACAAGCTTCTGTCCAAGTTTGGTACAAATCCAGGATAGTTTAAGAAAGTTATTAAAATTTGAAAAACTTTAACCACAGAGTGAATGTAATGTTAACTGGCAGAAAAACTAAGTCCATTTATGAGTACAATACAGATAAACAGGATTTTTTTTTTACATATTTACTTCTGGATACTATCTTATGATCATAAACAAGCTTCTATCCAAGTTTAGTACAAATCCAGGATAGTTTAAGAAAGTAATTAAAATTTGAAAAACTTTAAACCACAGAGTGAATATTTGTGGACGCTGCTGCTGCCGACGGAATGAAGGATCGCTATGTCTAGCTTTTGCGACAAAAGTCGCAGGCTTGACAATAAAAGAACAGAGTTCCAAAGTCCCCTGCATTGCACATATTTTATCTATCAAAGGGCAATAATTTTTTTGTTCTTTAAAACTTGAAATGAAGGCTTGAGAGCAAATACAATGCAATTTCCAATATAATTAATATTTCCAAGGGGCATAACTCTTTTATAATTATTTGATCGGCACTGAATTTCCAATTTGTCTGATACATTGCTGATATGAACCTTTGATATAAGTTTCATAAAAATCTGGAAAAAATTGTACATCTTAGAGCGCTAACAAGACCGGACAGACAGACGCACAGAAGGATGGATGCATGGTATTTCTATGTTACCCCAAAACGTGTTACGATGGGGACAAAAATAACATAAAATACATGCAAAAAGTCTAACATTTAAATGTTCTTTTTCCATAGTCGGCAAAAATCGGAATCTACCATCATAGTAATGGTCTCTAATACAATCACATTCTAAGGGCCATAACCCTTTAACAGTCAGTATGCATCTACTTGTGCTTGGCATTGTGTAATGTTGTGTCTAACCCAATTAACATCTAGAAACCAAAAAAGTTAAAAGCAAACGAACAAACATGGCCATCAATTTATACTTTTTGGGAGATAATTATAAGTATTCAACTGTAAATCTAAAGCAATATGATGTGCAGTCAGTAATTTAACACAGACTCTTACAAAACCAACATTCAGCCTAAGAAATGATATAAATATTCATTAGATTTTGATGTGTTATTATTTCATTAAAGTAAGACTTTTATCTCAATAAGTTTAAATGCACTTTACGGCAATTGTTTCACAAAAAAAATCTTTTCTATTTAATTCTTAATTGAACATTATTGATTTTCATCTGGAGGAAGAATGTGTTGATGAATAACTAGTGCAATGTATCTTATATATACTGAATGAAAATAGAAATTCAATCCTTACATACTTTTTCCATCTTTAAAAAGTTCAATCCGACAGATCTTCTTTAGAAGTTTTTCTTATACTTTGGAGACTTCTTTAATAGGACATTCCTACAGAATATTTCCAGTAATTTTTAGCTTTTAATTTAAGATTAAAACGTATTCAAATTCATCAAATTTTAATAATAAAAAAATAAAATTTACACTTTGATTGCAAATTTACATTATAATAAGACGCAGATTATTCATTTTCCTTTGCATTTTGGAAAGAAAATTTGTGAGTTCTGATTTTGAAACCTATTGAACTGAACTGAAATTAGAGGCTCTAAAGAGCCTGTGGCGATCGTTTGGATCTATGTGCATTTTTAACGATTGGCACTTTCTTTTGTTTAGTTCCACTTAACCCAGTAACCTAAATAGTAGAAGACAATGGGTGCTGTGACAGACAACGCATCGATGCCAAGTTATCATCAAAATACCTCACTTGATCCTTTGGATCAGGTTAGCTAAAGAGTCAATGCAAGACCTCGGGACTGTAGCAAGGGGGTTCAAGAGGTTCATACGAATCCCCCCCCCCCTTTTGAAAACAAAAAAGCACTACTAAAGTTGAGATTTTGTTTGCCCCGAGTCGATGTAACACCCCTTTGAAAATTCCTGGCTACGGGGCTGGACCTAAATTCAAAAGTAACATGTAGCCAAATGTTTGAGGAATGCATTGAAAGAATAGTTTTGTAGAGTCATCAAAAACAGGACCAAAGGGTGTGGTATATGGTGTGATGTGTTGTAATAGGCACTCAGTATATATATCACCTTTAAATGTCATCAACATTTAAAAGAGAACATATTTCTCTCAGAGAAGTGTAATACAATACATTTTCTATACAAACGTGACAAAATATAAACAAATTTTTAAAACTGACTTCCCACACAATATTAAGTTATACCGATTTTATCAACCTCTGCTTTTCAGTAACCGTCACCAGCGTTTATCAGATTAAAGAAGGCATTACGCAAATTATAAAATAGAGTATATATATATAGGCAAAACCATTGAAACATATTTTTTTAAATAAATTGAGGCAAATATTGAGACATTTGTAAAAAACATATAAAAAATTATATGGCTTGATTGCAGACTGCAAAAAAAGGTTGCAAAGATCAAGATCAGTGTCTGTTATCTTCAATTTAAATCACTGGGTACTATGGTGTTTTGCTCTAACAGAAAAAAAGAAGATTTTGTATCTTGTTTTCTAAGTAAGATTGTCCTCGTTTTGTAAAAGAATCAATATCATGTTGATCTGACATTTATTTCATCAATTTCAATAAAGTTCAATTTACTTGAAACTTTTCAAGAAAACCAATGTTCCAGACATTTTTATTTAATGAGTATAAATCTAAATTAAGAAACCAATTCAAAATGTGCTTCAGAGTAATGGTTCATTAAATTTAAATTCAACCTCAACATAATAGGAATGATTCTTCAATCTGTTAAGGACCTACTTACTAGGGAATTTGAAGGTTGATTTGGTATGACCTTAACAAGCAAACCTATTTGTACCAATTGCTTGTTACCTATCTTGAGGGTCTGGATGGGGTTAATGGAATAGAGAATAATGAAGCAAGAGTATAGAAAAATGGACCAAAAAATAAAGAAAAGAGAATAATAGGCCAAAAATTAAAGAATAGAGAAGGGTGTTTAAATATCAGGAATAGAGAATGATAGGCAAAATAAATATGGAATGGAGAAATATTGCCTTAAATATAAAAGAATACAGATATGGAGACCACCTCATCAAGATCCTCTATCGTCTCAATATGGGATCAGTTCAAGTTTAGCTTACATCATTGTAACAATGGATTAGAGTTTTACTTATAAAAGGTTAAATTTAATCATTGAGTGACATATGAAAAGAAAACAGAAAAAGTGCTTCTTTACAAATAAGCGTTCAAAATTCTTTTTATTATTATTTCCCTTTAAATAAATACTATTCTATAAGTATATATAGCCTACTATAAAAGCAGTACTATTTCATGTGAAATAAATTATATGTCATATAGCTGTAATTAGCATGAAGATGTTTATTTCAATAACAACCAAAAAATTTGGATCAATTTTCAATAATTATTACACATATGTATATGAGTGGATGATAACTTGTTGTTACATCATTTCTATCAATTATTCATATTTACAATACAATGTCAATTACTTTTTTTAATTTATTAAAATTGTGGGTTTTTTTTCACCATAATCGTTTACATGATGTACAAGAACAATGTGTTAAAATAATGTTGATTTATAAGTTGACACAGGATATAATTCAATATTCTTGGGTTGTTTTCATGGAATATGGAAACATATGATGGAATAAAATGAATTGTCTTTCAGTCAATAAAAGATCATCACTTGTGTTGAGGATGACATTTTTTTCTTTTCGTGTATTTTGAAATTTTTTGGCAAACACATGAAATTGTGCATTGTATTTAATATGGGAAAACAGAATTCTCATACCTAAGTCTATCTTGTTCTTTCTGTCGAAGTTCAAAATCTTTCTGCAACACTTGTAATATCTTTTCGAATTCTTCCTCATTCATCTGACCCACATTGACTTGACGACCCTGAGGCATGATGGGAGAAATCTTTACAGACATCTAAAAAAAAGAATGAAAGACAAAAATTAGATTTTATTACTGTAAATTCAGAAATTAGTGCATGCATTTATTATTGTGATTTTGTCCTTTTAGACCAAAATGTGATTATTATTTTTGCGATACTGAGAAAAATTCTGCTTCATTCATATAAAAAAAAATCAAAATGCAAGTTTAAATTATTGCGATTACAACCCTGTCGCATCAAAAACATTGCAATAATTTCTGAATTTACAGTATTTCAAGAAATCTTTACAGACATCTTAAATACAACATCAAAGACTAAAGAATTAAAAATTATCATTTCAAGATTATAAATCCTTTAAACAATATTCCTGTTTACTTTTTCTTTCTTTATACCCAGGGAAATGAGTTCATCAGTACACCATTCATAGTCCAAGTACAGTTGAAAATGAGGTCAAGGTCAAATGAATCTTATCAGACAAGACATCAGTACACCATTCAATAACCCAAGTACAGTTGAAAATGAGGTCAAGGTCAAATGAATCTTATCAGACAAGACATCAGTACACCATTCAATAACCCAAGTACAGTTGAAAATGAGGTCAAGGTCAAATATATCCTATCAGACAAGACATCAGTACACCATTCAATTGTCCAAGTACAGTTGAAAATGAGGTCAAGGTCAAATGAAGCCTATCAGACAAGACATCAGTACACCATTCAATTGTCCAAGTACAGTTGAAAATGAGGTCACGGTAAAATGAATCCTATCAGACAAGACATCAGTACACCATTCAATTGTCCAAGTACAGTTGAAAATGAGGTCAAGGTCAAATGAATCCTATCAGACAAGACATCAGTACACCATTCAATTGTCCAAGCACAGTTGAAAATGAGGTCACGGTCAAATGAATCTTATCAGACAAGACATCAGTACACCATTCAATAACCCAAGTATAGTTGAAAATGAGGTCAAGGTCAAATGAATCCTATCAGAAAAGACATCAGTACACCATTCAATAGTCCAAGTACAGTTGAAAATGAGGTGAAAGATGAATCTTGTCTTCCTTAAAATGATTCTACAGACAAAATACAGTCATTTAACCATGCAAATGATTCTACAGACCAAATACAATCATTTAACCATACAAATGATTCTCATACCAAATACAATCTTTTAACCATGCAAATGATTCTACAGACCAAATACAATCATTTAACCATACAAATGATTCTACAGACCAAATACAGTCATTTAACCATGCAAATGATTCTACAGACCAAGAACAATCATTTAACCAGGCAAATGATTCTAAAGACCAAATACAGTCATTTAACCATGCAAATGATTCTACAGACCAAGTACAATCATTTAACCATACAAATGTGGTCAAGAGAAATTAAGATATGCCAGATGAAACCTGCAAACCAAATTGAAATAAAAAAGAAATGGAAACATCTAATTTAAAATATCTTCCCCTCTACTCTCATAAAGAAACTGAAGGGTGTTACTTTGTCCTTCCAATGTTGATTTGGTAATCCCTTTCTAACTACAGAAAGTGTCTAGTGAAATAACTTTACAACATAATGTATTTCTGTGCTCAAGTATGAAATGTAGGTCACAATGATCCAAATGTTGTTGCACTGCATCATGCAAAAATGCAAAATTGTGGCATTGGTATATTAAAAAGTCCTACTTATAAGATAACCATAAACAGGATTTATTGAAGACTTCTTTTTGAAATGCCATTCATCTTTTTCCATGATTGATTGAGTGATTGATTGGTTGGTGTTTTACCCCACTTTCAGCATTATTGTGCTATTTTGTGGCAGTCAGTTTTTTTTATTGGTGGAGGAAGCCAGAGTGCCCATACCGACCGTGTAAGTGCTGTATAGCCAGTCAAGGTCGTTAAAAACCTCCATATAGAGTGCCCAGAGAGAACCTGACTGACCTTCCATAGGACAACTGACAATCCAATTCAATTAACCTCAGTGGTGACAGACTAGTGATTCATTAGTTTGACTACTAATAGACTAATAGGCCACCGAGGCCCCTCTCTCAACATGAAAACATGGAGAAGACAATAAAAGAGAACTGTCTTTATTTTAAAATTTCTCTTTCTTTTTATTTTTTGCAATATCCTTTTTTATGTATTTCTCAGCAGGCCAGAATGAATATAATTATAACACTATAAAAAAATATTAAAATCCTGCTAGCTAAAAACAAATGAGGAAAACAATTATTCTTCATGAATCTTTTAAGGGGCCTCATCAAAATTTAAAAGATTGCAAGTTTGAAATAAAACATCTACCTGACTTTATTTAAATCCAGTTAATTCCAATACACATAATTTCCGAGAAAACAACGGGTATCTGTCACTATTTTTTTTTATTGTTATTTATAACACGATCCAATAATTTAAATATCAAAATCTTGTAATCTCTATAACACACTCCAAGCTAAACATCAGTGACATTTTTCACTCTCAATTAAATAACAAAACATGTAATTCTTCACATCTTTGCTATTTACATAAATAAACAACAGTGGCACATCTCCAACAGTTAATATTATCGGTTATTAACTATCTCCTATTAAATACCAAACATGTACAGCATATGATTTCAAAAGATCGTTATTCAACCAAGTACATAAATGTAGTGTTTAAACTTCTCAGTTCCGATTCAATACTTTCACTAAGTATGTCACTGTAAATCGCTTGTCGTATGAATGGATAAATTATTATTAATCCACGTAAAAAATGTTGTTGTGTTTTATGCAAGTGGCATTGAGAACGAATAAATGGCTATTATAATCCAAGGAAAAGATTTTCAGTATTCATTCATGAAGAGTATAATGGTATATTTCCGATGTCTTTATAAGTTGTTGTGTTTTATGCAAGCCAGGCATTGAGAATGAATAAATAGCTATTAATCCAAGGAAAAGATTTTTGGTATTCATTCATGAAGAGTATAATTGGATAATTCCGACATCTTTATAATAGTTTTGTCCTTCTGTATAGAAAATGTAGGATTTAAACTTTTTTTTCAAATATCTACAGGTCAACATTTGATTACTTAACACATTTGTATTGATGGTATTTATAACTGTGTTAAAATATGGCAAAAATTGTCAACAAAGAGGATAAATTTTATTAAACTAAAGTTACAGGGTAAAAGAACCATATAATATTTTCTTCTTTTATTCATGTTCAAGCTGTTTACCCTGCATCTATTTTTTTCATACTTTTCAGAAGAGCTGATTCAGAAGGCATGTAGCCAGAATGTCTCTGACTGGGGGGTTATTTGGAATAATGAAGAATGGTCTGATTTTTATAGTCAATCTTTATTCTTTAATCTGAATCTCAACTTTAATAGTCCAATACTATTTTGTTTTCAGAGCAGGGTTCTTCAAACCCCCTAAAACCTCCCTGGCTTAGCTATTATAAAATGATCATCGTTGCACATTTAGTTGATATCAAGATGAACCAATAATTAAAATTTTTGGAGAAAATTTAAATTTTTCGTTTAGGCTAATATGTATGCAGAATTTGTCATAAAAATGAAACCAAGTATCCACATGAAATTCAATTGCTTTTCACTTTTTGAAAATCAGATGGTCATGAAAATAAATTAATCCAAATGTAGCATACTGCATACATTATTGCGAGGTTTTTATTATTGCGAAAAAATGCGACTGGGTGAGTATCGTAATAATAAGAACTCGAATTCTGATATCTGATGCATATAAATCTGTTTGCAGCTTTTCCTGAAATCGCAATAATAAATCTCACATTTTTGTCCTTAAATCTTCAAAAACAGCAATAATAAATGCACAATAATTTCTGAATGAACAGTATTACATAAATTCAGAAGATTGTTCATTGCTTAATGTCTAGTGGCAAATATTTCATGCATGATCAGGATTAGAACAAACTAACAATAAATACAATAGCTAGCTCATGTTATACACCCTGGCCATCCGGGATGAACTCCAGGTTGGTGAAATTTGGACTGCCACTAGAAAACGAGGGTATACTGGATAGGGAAAAAAAGTTTGCCTTGCAACAGGCCACCTACGACCCCTTGAAAATAAGAAGCACCTGACTAATAGGCAGACATTTCAGACATTATTTGTTGTCTTGGGTCGAAACTTTGTTTACAACAGGCTCCATATGGACCCTCCACAGAGATTATAGGCAATCTTAACTCTTTCAGCACTATGACCCGGTTTAACGGGACATCAATTTTACTTCCGTGAACACTATAGCCCGCTATAACGGGCTGCACATGCTTCTTTTTTTAATCTGAGAATTTCCATTGGTCAGTCGTTGGGAAAACCCCTCTAAAGTAACATACTAGCGTCATATACATTCATTCGAGTTTCTCTGGCTTTTTCTGTACTTTTAACGGAAAATAAAGTAAATATTGGTCTATTATTAGCGATGAAAATTTTTGGAAATTTTGTACACAAAATGGCAGATATCGATAGTGAAAACGAACTGTCAGGAGACGAAATTATTGATAATGTCAGACAATTTGACTTAATAAATGTTAATAAAGCTGACAGAAATGAATTAGAAAGGCTATGGAGAAATATAATTGGGGACAGTGATGATGAAGATGACTTACGATGGGTTTGATGCCCAGAAACTCAAAGAAACATTAGTGAATTTAGGGAACTTGTGGGCCCAGTTAGAAATTTTGACACTTCAGCATCTGCCCTGAATTATTTTCAATGTTTTTATACTGAAGAAGTCTACACTTCTATTGTCAATCTAACTAATTTGAACGCAATCCGAAAATCGTAGATGAAAGTTTACACATTTACCTGTGCTAACGAAGTACAAATACTTTGTCAATTGAGACAATATAACATTATTTTTTTTAATAATCATAAACTATAAAATCAATATAAATTCAAACAAAAATAATTGATGTCCTAGTTAAAACACCAGTTTATCAAAATTACCTGATTTACCTGAATTTTTACCTGTATCTCACCTGTATGTCACCATAAGTCACAATAAGACAAACAGGTACAGCAAGTACAAAGTATGCTGATTATTTTGTTACCTCATATGATGGAATTGGACGACTGAGTACAAATATACATCAGTTTAAAAGTACCTACCCTAAATAAATGAAAATTCTCAAAGTTTAGTGTTGAAGGGTATAATACATTGAAAGTTATGCAGTGTTGAAAGAGTTAATATGCAGAGTGCATCGATGGAACTCTTAAAACAAGGAGCTATTTAAGACTTAACCAGACTATAACTATAGGTCTTCTCAGGAAGGTTTATTTACATATTTATTTCATTTAACTATAACAGACAGTCTGTACAAGCCTGAAAGTATTCTCCACAATATTACTGCAGCCTAAGACAGATTTTACTTTTTGGACCTGTAAAAATCCTGAGGGCACAGAAGGGCAAATTTTACCTTGTCAATGTTGTCCATTCTTGGTGAAGAATTGCTACTTTTTTTGTTTTTTATGATTTCCAAATAAATTCTGTAATCAATTCTTATTTTCAAAAAAGAGAACAACTTGGGATGACATGGATGGTTGCTGAATGTGTAAACAGAGGAGGAAATCTGCATAGCTAGCAACAAATATGTGTGGAAAAGTCTTTCCTTGCGTAGTTTTAAATGCTAATTTAAAGACGATGGATTTAATAAGGTCAACAGCCATTTTCCGTGTGTTTGTTTTAATTAATTGGCAAATCTTAAACAAAATACATTAGTTGTAAAATACCTACCTGAACAATGTTATTATAAACTGTAAGATATTATATAATACTAAATTACCTGTAAAATCCGGTTTAAATTTCCAAAACGCTGTGTCTTTTCAGATGACGGGAAATTCCATCCTTTTGATTTTTTTTTATAAAATAGCGAAACTACGTCCATCAAATAAAATAATGTTAAAATTTCTTCCCTTCCTCCTCTATTTCTCAATGAGCTCCAATTCAACTGTTGTATTTCACTGCAAAATTTCAGCACAATTACACAATTAAATTATTTTGAAAAAAAGAAAGATTCCTAATTTCACAATACACATAAAAAGCAAATTTTTTACTGATCTATCAAAGTTAATATTAAACTTCTCTGCATATTTCTGGTTCCACCAAGAAGAATTTCAAAATTATTTTCCAGTAGAACAGCGTTGATTATCTTCTTGTTTTAAGACTTTCTAAATTAATTTTCTTCTAATCAGTGCTTATAGAATAATAGCCGTGCAGCAGACATCCAATTAATTTTTTTCTTTTCTCAATTCAATTACTTTTCAATATAAATCTTTATTAGTCATCCATTTTTTCACTTATTAAAATCCAATTTAATTTTAGGTTGACAAGAAAACGAAAACGAAAACAGCAACCACAATTTAATGTAAAATTTCAGCATTCAACAACATGCAATCATTCGTCTCCCTTTAAAAAATGCCTTTTCTTTCTTTTTAATTCAATTTCAGGATAAGTTAAAATCCTATGTCAATTTGATCTTCAAAACACCATATTTTAAGCTAGGCAGATATTACTCTTTACTAATCTGTGATGACTCTTACTTTACAGTTTACATTCAAATCAGCTCTATCAAACAGCATATTTTCTATAATGATTTTTTCTTTCAAAGAGTTCGAATTAGTCACAAAACATATCTACATTGTAGTTCTATTACACATGACCAACAATCGTCAGTCGTGAAATTGAAGGATTTGTATTCAGAATGAAATCAACAATATGAATTTTCCGTTGATCAATTAGTGACAGATTACAGCGAAACTGTATCAATAATTCATTTGAATGATGCTTTTATTTCTTTTCTGCAAGCCAACTAATCCATTGTGCCTCGTCTTGTCTAACAAGTTGTTGTCTCGTCTAACAAGTTGTCGAAGATTTAATTTCTACTGACATATGACTGAATCTTGATCATTTGAATGTTTGTCTGGAACTTGAAAATGACCGACTGTCTGCTCAAATAGGATTTTTACCTGCTTTTTTTTGTAAAAACGGTCTTGCAGTTCACTACTTGAAAATACACATTCAATTTTTCTTAATCACAACTGTTCCTGTAAATTAAAAAGAATTAAAAGTTACTTTCACACACATTTAGCATTTTAAAATCATTAGTGCTGAGAACTCAGACCAAAGAAAAATATATTCTTATTTCCTGTATCTTGGCAGAAAAATATGGAAGGTTGGTAGGTAAAATAATTTTTTATTTTTTGAAATTGACATCTTAATTTCTCAATTGAATTGTTTTATATTTTTCATGTCTGGGCCTTTTACAGCTGACTATATGGTATGGGTTTTTCTCATTATTGAAGGCCATACAGTTGCCTATAATTGCTTACATCCACTTCATTTGAACTTTGGTGGATAGTTGTCTCATCGGCAGTCATGCCTCATCTCCTTATTTTTATACTTAAACTATATAGGGAAATATTTGTTTTCCCTAATGACATCAAATTATCTCTAGTTTCAAATTGTAATCGATGAATTGACATCAAAGTTTTGTTGTGTACTGATAAAAATGGCATCATTTGTTTGAATGACTATTTACATAAATTTTACTTGTTTTAAAGACAAAAATACTATTAAAATTGCCATTTTTGTCAGTACGCAACAAAACATTGATATTAATTCATCAATTACAAATGAAACTAGAGATAATATCATGTCATTAAGAACAACTTTAATTTATTTATTTTTTTGCTGCAAACAGCTGGTTTCAACAGTATTGAATTTGTCTGAAATTAACATAGTAAGGATGTAGGCTTCAAAGATGACATGCTGCTGTGCATATTGATTATAAAAAATTTATTACAACGCTGTATTTGTTTTTTAAAATTCCCTCTGATATGTTTCTAAAATTTTTTTCAATTTGAAATTTGTTCATACAATGCATTGTCTTCTGGGGCTTGTTTGCATTTAAGAAAGAAAAAAATTCCATTCAATGAAGGTGATTACTTTAAAATTGTTACTATGGACATGTGTCTAAATTTAACTTTTTTAAGACCAACTATGCATTTAAAAGGCTAAAACTCTTTGTATAAATAGGACCATTCTTTAATATATCTTATTTGCATAATACAAGTAGCAGTGTTCTCCCCAAGGCTTTTTAGCATCATGGTAATATGATGCTTAATTGTTTCAATCTGTTGCCATCTGAAATTATTTTTATCATAGATTGTGTTCTGGATGTGATGCTAAAATTTCTGTAACAAGATGGTATTTCATAATTCCCTATTTACTTAAATATGATATTTAACAGGATGTTATATGCGTTTTTTGGGGGAGATAACACAGCAAGTAGATCAACGTCACATGATTCATGTTTCTTAATTGCTGTCTCAAACCTACTTTTTCTCTTAAAAAAATATTAAAAACATGAAACTGGTTTAGCCTAAAAGATGAAACTTACTTTTAGTGGAATTTCTTGTTGCTCAACTTATCAAGACAAAATATTGGAAAGAATTAAATACTCAAAAAACTAATTTAATCCTTCTATGTTAATCTCCTTGCATGTAAGAGCATTTCTTATATATATCAAAAGTTTTTTACCTAGTTAAAGAATGAAAATAAGACTTTATTAATTTTGTGTGTCCGAAGCAATTTTCTGGATTTTCACAAAGTCTCCAACCCACGCATAAATTTGAAAGCCATTAGGATGTAAAGACCTAAACATGTGAAGGGCTATATGACCAAGGATGTAAAGACCTAAACATGTGAAGGGTTATATGACCAAGGATGTAAAGACCTAAACATGTGAAGGGTTATATGACCAAGGATGTAAAGACCTAAACATGTGAAGGGTTATATGACCAAGGATGTAAAGACCTAAACATGTGAAAGGCTATATGACCAAGGATGTAAAGACCTAAACATGTGAAGGGCTATATGACCAAGGATGTAAAGACCTAAACATGTGAAGGGTTATATGACCAAGGATGTAAAGACCTAAACATGTGAAGGGTTATATGACCAAGGATGTAAAGACCTAAACATGTGAAGGGTTATATGACCAAGGATATAAAGACATAAACATGTGAAGGGTTATATGACCAAGGATGTAAAGACCTAAACATGTGAAGGGTTATATGACCAAGGATGTAAAGACCTAAACATGTGAAGGGTTATATGACCAAGGATATAAAGACCTAAACATGTGAAGGGCTACATGACAAAGGATGTAAAGACCTAAACATGTGAAGGGTTATATGACCAAGGATGTAAAGACCTAAACATGTGAAGGGTTATATGACCAAGGATTTCATGTGAAGGGTTATATGACCAAGGATGTAAAGACCTAAACATGTGAAGGGTTATATGACCAAGGATGTAAAGACCTAAACATGTGAAGGGTTATATGACCAAGGATGTAAAGACCTAAACATGTGAAAGGCTATATGACCAAGGATGTAAAGACCTAAACATGTGAAGGGCTATATGACCAAGGATGTAAAGACCTAAACATGTGAAGGGTTATATGACCAAGGATGTAAAGACCTAAACATGTGAAGGGCTATATGACCAAGGATGTAAAGACCTAAACATGTGAAGGGTTATATGACCAAGGATGTAAAGACCTAAACATGTGAAGGGCTATATGACCAAGGATGTATAGACCTAAACATGTGAAGGGTTATATGACCAAGGATGTAAAGACCTAAACATGTGAAAGGCTATATGACCAAGGATGTAAAGACCTAAACATGTGAAGGGCTATATGACCAAAAGGGACATAAAAAAAAATAGCCAAATCCATGTAAGGTCAACTTTGCCTGAGGGAGTTAACAATTTCATTAAGTGGGTCTCATTGAGGTGTAAGCGTGATCCGGGATTTGCAGATTTTTTGTAACCGTGACACATGAAAGTCAAATTATTCTGAGTGAAAACGGGAAATGAATTCAGGTGGGCAACGTGAAATTACAAGCGCTATTATTACAATGATAAGCGGGATACAGGATTCTGACAAAACAATAAGCGGGATCCGGGATCAGACCCCCCCCCCAATGAAACCCCCCATTAAATGCTCTCTGTAAAATTGATTTAGGACTAATCAGTAATAGATGTAGAATAAATGTCAATGAGGCACAGCAACCAAACAACTAAAATGAACCAAAAGACATTTAGAGGTCTAGACTCCAAGGAGATTTAGGTCAGATACTATTCTTGTATTTTCAAAGATTGATCAAACCACAAGTGACTTTTTCATTATTTTATTGTATTGTTGAAGTTTACTTAGCAGCTTGTAAAACTGACCAATTTCTACTCAAAACAAGCTGTTTTGATAATTAAGGCTGCAAATATGACATTGAAAAGAACATATAGCAGATTTAATGACATACATTTAATCCATATATTGGAATTAAGAGTAGAATTGCAAGATAAGCATAATAACAATATCTGCACTGCCAGTATAATCAATAACATAACTTCTGTATCCATCATCTATCAGTAAAATATAGCTCTACACAGTTTAACATTGATTGGTTATTGGTTGCTTAAGTCCAGTGGCAATTTAGACAGTTTACCATTGTAAAAGCCTAATTATTTTCTGTGGCGAGTCCTTTTGATGAAGTTTTAATGATGTTTTAGTTTGGATTAGGAGTATTGCCCAGTCTAAGTAGCTTTGACAAGGAGTTATCATTGATGTCATAATCTTTTATGATGGTAATGGATAGTTGCTTAATGTCCAGTGACCTATATAACATGCATATTAAGATAAGATTTATTTATAAGTATGAACCCTGTTTTGTACTTAGACTGACACAATTAACCTGATTTTTTACATGCTACTGTTCACAAGGTGACAATCGACAGAAAGACGGTGTATCCCTTTCTCACACACATTATTCCGAATCCGTGCGGACCAATCTTAGGCTCTTAGTCTTTAATGCCATGTAGTAGAGGAGAAGTAGCATACACCAATTTTCTAGTCTTTGGTTTGACTAACCAAGCTGGGGGTCGAACCCATGACCTCCATTGAGGTAAAAGGCTATCATGAAACAACCAAAATGGTACGTTTTTTTTCGTTTTTGACCTGACATTGATAAGTTTGACCAAAAGGTATCATTTAGTCCTCTTCTGGTTTGCTAAATAGATTATCAGATTTTCATCATATTAATAACATAAAATATCAGGTGCTTGACACAATACAAAGCCTTTTTGAACTTGCTCCCTGCAATCACTCAACAAAAAGCTTCATAGCAGAAAAACTGATTTTTAGCCATACTTATCAGTAGAATTCAACATAACATGAATCTTTAGCTGTTTCAAATGATTTGATGCTGGCTGTGATAAAAATGGGACATTGTTGATATCAGGTCAAAACATTATGACCCTTCTGATATCTTTTGGTCAACCTTGATATCATTGGTTAAAAATCTTGAAGCTGAATTCATTTGTGAGCTGGTTACAAAATTTCAGAGAGTAAATTATTGTGATGTTTTAATTAATGCCAATCAGGTGAGTATATCGCAATAATAAGAACTTGCATTCTAGTATCTGATACATTCTCTCTATTTAGCTTTTCCTGAATTCACAATAATCGGGAATTTTGGTTAGGTCTTCACAAATCGTAATAATAATAATGCATGCAATAATTTTTGAATTTACAGTAGATGTCATGAAATACAATAAAATCTGTTTATCTCATTGATTTGGCTGTGTTTATTGTTCAGAAAATAATTTTTATAGTTAATAGTTATTAGTTTTAATGATTATTAATGGAAAAAGGATCATCTAGAGTTCATCCTACGGATCTTCATCCTACCTAGCCACATTAATCTGGCTCAGAGCACAACACAAGTATTACTCCTAAATGCTGTGTGCTTAGCTGAAAAGCAGAAATAAATATTTTCAAGGCTTTGTTTTACCCTCAAGGCGAGCCAACTAATCAAAGAAAATTAGGTTCACCTCTGGCCTTGAATTTCAACTTTATGTTAAATATCTAAAAGCTGCTAAAAGTAAAAGGCTCCAAAATTTGTTTTAAAATGGATCTATTTCAAAAGCCTGATTCCTAAGTAAAACAAACCTCTTAATGATATTACATTATAGGCTCTAA